CCCCCCCTCCCCTCCCCTGTCCGCCGTGCCCGTGGCCGCGCGTGCGCGGGGCGGGGCGGGCGGGGGCGGCTGCGCAGCCAGGAGGGTCGGCCCGGGCGGCGGCGGCAGCGGCGGCAGCAGCGGCGGCGGCGGGGCCGGGCGGGCACAGCGGCGGCGGCGCCATGAGGCCCGGGCAGGGGCTCCGAGAGTAAGTGCGGCCACGGCGGGAGGGCGCCGGCCACGCCGACACCTCCTCCTGCTTCTCTTCCTCCGCCGCCTCTCCCTCGCAGCGCGGCGGGACCGGCGCGGCGCTGCCCCCCCCCCCCCTCCTCCGCCCTGCTCCCCATTGTCCTTCCCGGGTGTCCCCTCCCCACTGCCGCTGAGGGATCACCAGTGTCGCGACCCGCGTCCGTGTCGCGACCCGCCCCCCCCCTCTGTCGCGACATCCGCCTCCCCGGGGTGTCCCCTCCCCAGCGCCCGGGTCCCTCGGCAGCCCCTGAAATGCCTCCCCCTGGGTACCACACACGCGGCCCGGATCGCGATAGTGCGCCAGCCATCGCGATAGAAGTGCCGTCAGGGGAGACGGGGGGATTGCGGTCGCAGTGCGAGCACATCCTTTGTGTGATTCTTTCCCCAAGAAAAGTGTCCTTTTGCGAGAGAATCGCAAGCTTGTCTGGGTTGGAAGGGACCTTAAAGACCATCTCTCGTCCCAGCCCCCCCGCCATGGGCAGGGCACAGATATCGTCAGTAAATCATCCGTCGTTTTTATTCCCTACCAACCGATTTTCAAGCGTCTTAAGAAGAAGAAGAAGAAGGAGAAAACTGCAGAGCTGGACTCCTCTGTTCTCAGTCCACTCGTGCAGCAAAGTGTTGAAATGGTTTTGGTTCTGCAGTGTGTGAACCTCCCCGAGCAGCACCTGCGAGAGCTCACAGACGCCTCACCCTCCCTTGGTATCACCTCTCATCACTTGGTACAAGTTTAGGGTAAATCACAGGTGCAGGTTAATTAGTTCAGCCATAATTTGTTCTACTCGCTTCTTAGCACGGTCCTTAATTTTCTCTCTAGCCACAGTCTCAAGAAAACATAAGTTCCTTGGGAAAACTTTTTGCAGCAATACTTTTTATCCCCTCTTTATTGCACAAACCCGATTCTTTGTTGCCCCGGTCGCTGTGGGAGAGGAGGGAGCTGGGAGCTCAGGAGGATGAGGTTGGGTTCCTGAGTGATGTCATTTGTGCTGGAGCAACGGTGGTGACTTTGTGATGGAGTAAATCCTCCTGGACGTGTCAGGGCTTCCTGACTCTGTGTGTGTGTGTGTGTGTGCAGCGGAAACTTCATCTGATTCAGCAGCTGACTGAGAAAATCCCGTGCTCGGTGCTACACAGGCACTGAGGGAACAGAGTGATGATAGTTGCATTTTCCTTTCAGTATGTGTATTTCTGGTCAGGGTTTTTTTCAGCCTAAGAATTTGAACTTGCTGGAGTCTGTTCATTTAAGTAGGTACATAAAGCAGTAGGTAAAGATGCTCTTGAAGGGTCTTAGAGATATTAGAGGTGGAGAGAGCAGGGAGTGAAGGATGCAGGGAGAGTGTTGAGGTGCTTCTGGTGTCCTGTAAAGTCATTCCAGAGGGTCTGGAAACTTGGAGGGGGGAAAGCAATGATAAAGAAAGGAAACTTGAAAGCAGATGAACTCACTATTAATTTTTAGCAGGAGAAGGTTTGGATCAAAAGCAAGTAATAGAGCAAACAGAGGTCAAGATTTGAAATTAACACAGGATCTAAACTTTCATGAAAAAATGTTCCCATAAAAGAGAGGGTGTACATTTCCTAAATGATATTTACTCTGGTTAGACTTTCTGACCAGAAGAAATCAGAATTGACCCTTATCTGGGGAGCTGGAGGATCAGTTGATGAATTGGCTGTAATTTACAGGCATCGCTTCAAGTATTTTCAATATTTCTCAACTATTTTAAGAAGCTGTATTGAGTTCCAGCCCAAGCAGCCTGATAGTCTGGAGAGAGGAAGGATGCGTATTGCTGGAGCAAGAATTAAGCAAAAATAGATAAATCTGACATAATGGATGACAAGGGAAAGCTGATTGCTGAAAGATGCTGGCATGCTCTGTTCCTGCATGCTTGGCATGTATTCTGTTGTGTTACATGGCTTTTGAAGTGTAAAAAAAAGAGAAAGAAATCTCATTTTGTGCTGAGATAAAAGAAAAGGCAGGTGCTTAAATTCTGCTCGGGATCAGCTTTGATACTGACATGAAGTGGTGACCTCGCTTGTGTTTAAGCCTCTGTCACTTTGTGAACTTCTCAATTGAATAAATAATTCACTTAGCACCAAATAAATGCCATTTTATGAGATGGTATTTTTGATCCCCTTTTCACTCCACATAGCAAACAATTTCACACTTTTTCTGCTTGAGCACAGCCCGGGGTGCTATTTCTGTTAATAACATTAAAAATATGTTGGAGAATGTCCATGTAGTATTGGTTTTTTTCTCCAAATGCAAAATTAAGGAACCTTTGTGTTCTCTGCAGCTTGGATATTTGCCTTCGTTTAAGTCTTATTTGTATTTGTTTCAAGTTGTCCTCTGATAGATGAGCTTTCATATCTGTGCTTCTGGGAGCTGTTACCAGATCAAGAGGAGAAGTAAGGATTTTTGTCAAGGACTGAAGTATCTGTGTTTCCCAGAAGCTCAGACTGCTGTGTCACGTGCAGGAGCCTCAGCTTGTGTCCTCTCCAGCACCTGCTGAAATGCCTGGGTGTGGGATAGAAACTTTTATAGCTGTCTCCAGTGCAACACTTTTCCACACTGGTTTGTCCATTCATCTCTATTCTTCTTCATTTTTGACCTTGACTCATTACTGGCCAGCACATGGAAATGGGAGGGAAGGAGGTAGAGGTGTTGCTCTGGCTGCCCCCGCCCCAAAACCTTCATCACCAAAACATTTTATATCCTATATGCTGCTACCTCTTCAGTGAGGTATCAGTGAGGGGAGTCACTGATCTGTGAAGTGTGAGATGCAGTAATGTCCATTCTGTATTTCTCTAAAGCTTGGTAACTTCCAGGATTCTGGGATTTATGGGGTTGCTAAATACACCACTGAGCACATAGCCACAGCCCGACTTGTTCGAGTTATTTAACAGATGATCAGCACTTTTAAATAATTGCTTTAAGAACATGTAGTTCAGTGAAATGCTACACCCAGCAGGTGAGTAACAGGTCACTCCGTTGTGCTGTACACTGTAACCAGGACCTGCTGACTCCTCTGAGGCTGTTTTTTGGGTAAGATACTCCTAAGGATGAGTAAAGGTTTTGCAGTTTTCTCCATCTGCAATGGGCGTATCCCCATTTTTCAGTATTTTAAATACTTTCGAACTGGGGATTGAAGTGAATAATTGAGATTTTTATTCCTTGTGTGGTATGCCACATTCCCATTTTCCCATTGTATTTTGTGAGTCCTATGACTGTGAATGCTAAAATGAGTTTGTCACACTATTCATCATTTTTCTTTCTAAAAAAAATTGCTTTCCAAGTACTGACAGAACTCCTGAACAGCCTTTCTGCTGACGGACATCCAGAAAAGTTGTTTTGAACTTCACCCAAAGGTATTTTTCCAAGGGGTTGTATTCCTTCAAAAGCTGATCTTGCTATCCAAACTAGGCATAGCTTGGCCTCAGTTTGCCTGCACCTGGAGCTGACAGAGACTGCTGTGTTCATCAGCTGCTGGTTTCAATGGTTTTATTAATTTGGTTTAAAGGGACACTTAAAAAACCAGTGACTGTAGCCTATGGATGATCTGTGGCTGGTCTGACTTTGTAGACCCTGTAGACCCCTTTTCCTTAATTAGGGACATTCTGTCTGGGTGTCTCTCCATGCCAACCTGTTCATTTTTTATTTGTTACATTGTTGCTATAATTATTCCCCCATTGTGCTCAGGAGTTATGCTTCATTTACATATTCTCATTGCTTGACTTGTTTATGCCGTGTTTGAAGATCAGTCCAAGTTTCCAGGGTTTGTGAAGAAAATGGTGATATTTTGCTATTGGAATAATTTCACAGGAATGTATTTGGCTGCAGCGTGACCCTGGTAGGGAATAGTGGGGGTGTAGCACTCAGGGGGTGTGCAGGGATGAAAACTGGGAGGGATTTTTAATGTGAATTTCCAAGTCCCGTACAGCGATTCTGGAGTGCTTGGAATGTGTGGAGCAGTGGAATGTCTGGTTTGTTGATGTATTTAGAGATAACTGAGCTGCTCCAGGCTTTTAAATAGATGCATTGATGGGTGTACTACGGGGAAACGTGTTAGAAAACAGGTCCTCCGTAAATGCAACACATTTGAGACAAACCCTTAAGTATAATTCTGCTGAATTAGGTGTCAGATCCTGCCTCCAGCAGGAGTGGGCTCTGCAGCACCCTCGGCGTGCGACGAGTGCGAATGTTTAATTTTTTACGATGCCTGTAGTAACGTGAGGTAGAAAAGGTGAACCGTGAAAGTGAAGCTATTTTTAGTATTTAAAAAAAAAAAAAAAAGGCAGTCAAAAAAATGATCTACTAAGTGATACATTGCTGACGTCTGTAGCGCAGCCAACCCAATTAAGGTGCCGTATATTGTTTCCAGCAGGATTCTGATTGTTTCTAATTTGGGAACCACGCGAGAGCAAGTGGAAATAGGTGAAACACCGTGCTCTGCTCTTCAGGGTGGATCCAGCATCCAGTTGTGCTCTCTAATTTCACTTCTCGTACTGGGACAATCTCCCTGGCCTGGCTAAGATGGAGCCACGGGCAAAAAAAAATTCCTACCTGTTTTTATTGGTAAAACATCACGTAAGTCAGTGTTGAGCGCTGTGGATTCTTCTTTCATTTCCTGACCCCAGTGTAACCTTTGCTGTGTCCTGCTATCCCTCTCCTTGCCTTGATGTTAAACTTGGAGTGTGCATGTTGGAGGATGTGAGTCTCACAGTCCTGCCCTTTCCTGTGACTTTCCCTTGCCACTCATTTTGTTCCCTCTCTGTTGGCAGTTCCTGCACACAAAATGCTCTGAAAAATGTCATACAGTGACTGTCTTGAGCCAATACTGTGTGTGTATATATATATATATATATATATATGTATAAAAAATGTATTGGATGGAAATAGCATAGTATGAACCTTTTTCAAAAAAGAAATTATGCAGGTGCTCCCACTCTCCAAAGTAAACTTCCTCCTCTGCTAATCTTTTTTTAAACCTGGAATGAAAAAAAACATGTGTTCTTAACATCTGGAAAGGGGAGCCCTTCATGCCTCCTTTATTATTCTTTTATCCAGCATTGTTCTTCATTCACCCTTCTCTTCAGGCACTGTTTTTCTCAATTTTTTGTCTTATAAGCTTGAGGAATGTCGTGTGCTTTGGCTTTGTTGTGGACAGGGAAAATTAGGGATTTGGTTGCCCTTCACTTCCAGCTCATTAGTCTGTTTTGATTCTGGGTTGGTTTTATATCTTCAGCTACAGCAAAGCCCTCAGCTTTTGCCTGGAAGGGGTGATGTATTCCTGGAGCCGGTAATTTGTGCATCCTTTGACTTTAAACTGTTCACAACTCTGCTGAGCCTTTGTGAATGAGCGTGGAGGAAAATCGATATGTGAAAAAGCTGGAGCAGGGGAGGGAAAACAGCTTTTTCCTGGTCACACCATTGCCTGATTTAGTTTTCGTGTCTGTGAACTCTTCAGTGTTTAAATTTAGAAATGGATTGTTTTGGAACAAGTCACTTTTTAGATCATTTCCAGGAGATTTGTGTGTAATTTAATCCCATTTAGGTTTGCTACTCTGATCTGCTTGTTCCACGAGACTTCAGGTTCTCTCTCTCCCTGTACCTCTCCCACTATTTTCTACAAATCTGCTGGGGTTTTTTCCAGTCAAACCTTCAGCAGCATTTATGAATCCTGTTATATCTTCTCAGTTCCCTTTTTCTAGTCATTAACAAAGTGATGTTTGTTAAAATAGCCTGAACATTTGAAAACTGTAACTTTAATGTCTCTGAAGCATTTCATAAGTGATTGTTATTTAAACACTCTAGAAATGGAATGCGTGTACTTCAGAAATTAACCTGAATAGTATCTTTAATATTTCTGCTGTATATTCTCTTGTATTTACTGTGAATTTCCAACACAGCTTAGTTTAATATTTCAGGGTGTCTTTTTAGTTACAACTTATCAATGAAGTTGCTGATTAAGAACCAAAAGAAGTCTCAAAATGTGACAGTCCGACATAACACTTCAACCAGTTAAATTTAAAGTCGAGACAGGAAAGAATTAAGATTTTTCCATACTTCCATCTAGTGTGCATGGGGGAAATTGCATCCACGGTTAAAATCCCAGATATTCTCTGCTGGCAGTTCCAGTTGGGCAAGGATCATCTCATCCATTGGTCTTTGTTAAGCAGTAACTGCTGATAGACTGTGTGGCATCCCAGGGCTGACAGGTTTTAGTTCCAAGTATTTATGTGGCGGTACCTTTGCGATGTCCATAAAATGGCGACGCCTGAAGTTTAAGAAAAATCACCTTTCACCGTGTGGTGTTCATGCTCTCCTTCAGTGTGTTCTGCTCTATTTACTTGTCACTCTGTGCTAGAATTTCAGCTGCTTGATTTATGAATTATTGCTATTGAAATAAAATTAAAGTGGCTGTTCAGTTATTTAAGAGCCAATTAAATCTGATTTTATTCTGATGTAACATTTCCAGTGAAATGGCATAAAATGCAGTCTGTGGAGGAAAGTTAGGTCTAGAAATGGTTAGTGTTTATTTTTTATAATCTGTACTTTCGACAGCTTGTCTTGCCCATTGAAATCCATTGCAATCTCACAGCAGTGAGTGTAGATGTTAGAAGTTGCTCTGTATAAGGAAATAAAACAGGTTTGGTGTTTTCCATGATCCTGTATAAACCTTTAGTCGTGGCTGCTGGTTGGAGAACGCATCCATCCAGAAGAAAGAAATTTCCCTTGTTTGCAGTGCTTTTGGACAACAGAATTTATTTACCAGCCTTTGGTGACTTTGAAAGGTAGAAACAAAGGGTCTTCTGGGACGGACTCAAATCATGGGCTGTGCTGTCTTGAGGGCTCGGCGTTAATATTAGTTGAGTTTGCAGTATCAGATTGTGCTAATTACTGCGAGGTCCCCGCTCACAGGGGACACTCAGGACGAGGTACTTTGAGAAGTGCAGCCCAAGGACCTCGTTCATGCGTGACGGGCAGAGATGGGTCGTTTGTTGCGTGGTATTGGGGAGCCAAGTTCACTCTTAAAAGATCTGCCTGGGCGTGGACGTGCCGAAAAGCACCAGAAAATACCCTGCCAAACCTTACAGTCCTGTATTTTGTTAGCAGTAAATACACCAAGTGGAGAATGGGCAGGTAGCCTTCATTATGTGTGGCAATTAAAACATATCTCTTGATAGTGGTATTTCTTCTTAGGGGAAATGGCAGTGCCAATCCCAGTTTTATTTTGACAATTTCACACCATACATTTTGTCTTCTGTGGGCTGGGAGAGCACTGGCTGAGGCTATTTCGATATGAGGAGTCTGGTTTGCCTTATTTTTTATTAAAAATAAATCATATTGATGCGGATCTAATTTTATTTGGGACTAGACAAGCCTGCACTAGCCAGCTCTCAGGTTTGTGGCGTCTGTCTCCGACAAGATCACAGATACAGAGAAAATGATTTATTTTAGTATCCAGTGCTTAGATAAAATTCTGGTTTTGTGCAGATGGCATTGAAAGAATAACACATAGCTCAGACGAATTTGTATAAAGCACTGTATATTTGTACCAGAATCCAAATCTTCAGTACATCAGTAATATTGAGATTTATATTATTATTCTAGTCTTGGGTTTTTTTGGCCTTAGAATTAATTGCTGCATGTAGAGGTCGGTGTACTCTAGTTTGGCTACTCCCTGCATCTTGGTGGGGTGCTTCCAACTTCACCCCAAAGAGGTTGGGAATTGTCTGGTTGATACTGGAGAATACTTTTGGGTTTTGGGATGGAAGATGTTCAGAGCAGTGCAGAGCAGGAGCATGAGGATGCTCAGCTCTTTGGAGAGGGTTGGAGACGGTGCAGGTGTTTGGGAGGTACCTGCTCCTCCCTCAAAGGCTTTTATAAAACACTTTAGTAGAGCACGATCAAATCCAGACAGTGGCACTAATTCTAAATAAGTGTTTGCTAAACAACATTAATGGATTTAAAATGTTTTTAGGAATAGTTATTAGTCCTTCAGTCTCGTATGGTGAAGGGAGTTTTGTCTCAATGGGGGGCTGCCATTTTAATGCTTCCTGGCAGGAGGCCTATTTTGATCATGCAAATTAGGTTGGAAAAAGTAGGCTAAGCCATTAAAAAGTAGGAGAGATCATGAAATTTTAAATTTTTAAGGTGACTGTTTTTCTAATTATTAACATTTTTGTTATCATCGTTTACGTATGTCACTTCATTTTCCTTAATTCTCATGTCCTCATCCCTTAACTCTGACAACCTCAGTGCCAGTTGCTCCTGTATCCACTGCTCAAAATGGAAACTGTAGCCCATTGGCTATTATATTCCCAGCAAGGTGCTTGGAAATATTGCCACACGATGTGTTTTGTTGTATAATTAGAAATGCGGATACAGACTTTTTTCTTGCACCGTGATTAATTTTTTTCCTATTCCGTTAACATTAATAGGGACTGAAGGTTAAACTTGGCTTACATAAACTCTGGGTATTTGCAGGATGCTCGTTGGCAAGGGGATTCATTCTGGAAGTGGGAAAGGGGCACATGTGCACATGGGTGAGGGTTGGAGCCGGTGTCCAGAAGACTGGATCTCAGGTGGGAAGATACTGGGATTTTCACCAGGATCTCTTCAGAGGCTCCACCTTTCCCACCAGTTCCTGGCCGGGGGGACAGAGTAACATGGCACTGATGGAATGACGTCCTACTGGGATGTGGGGAAGAGCTCCCTGCAGCCTCTGAGGCACATGGATCCTGTGGCCACCATCCTGCAGGAGCACTGCAGCCCATCCCTCACATCCCGCTCCTCTGGGCAACGAGTGCATCGGCAAAATAAGTGTCTTGGTGCCCGCTGGCTTGTGAGCTTCATTTAATCCTATTAATTTTTAATAGAAGATGAATATTAAGCCAGCACATTTCGAACATGACTTTGCCTGTGCGTGGAAGGACCCTCGATTTCTGTTTGCTTTGGAGGGAAGAGTGTTGGATCCTGCAGGAGCGAGACCCTCCTGGAGCAATGTGGGGCCTGGAGCGAGGGACGTGTCTTTGTAGGGCTGTCACCTTCAGCAAGCACAGCAGCAGTGCCCTGTTCCACCCCAGTGATCACAAGTGTTGGTTGGATTTCAGATGCCTGTCTCCAGAAGGGGTGTTGGTGTGCCGTGCTGCTTGGATAAACGGAGAGGAACTGGGGATTTCCAGCTGAAAGTCTGCAACAGGTGTATTTGCGTGACCCAACCAGACTCTGGTGGAAAACGCCAACAGTTGAATGCCAATTTTACAAGGACTTCAGTAAATATTAATTTAAGTGATTTAGGGGTTCTGTTGTGCAAATAAAGTGTATTTTTAATCACTGTCTTGGGTAGGAGCTAATAGAAGAGAGTTGTGCTGGGGATGGAGAGCTCATACCCACCACCCAACCATGGCTTTGCTACAGCTGATGTTCTGCAGCCTCCAAAACAGTAAACTCGAAACAGGAAGGTCGGCTCTGTGAGCTGATGGTATCTTTGTCATTAAGAGAGGTTCTGGGAAAGTAAGCTGCATTCCTTAGCTCTTGCAACCCTTTTTAATTGTTTTTTCTCACAACCTTAGCCTGATCTTATCACCTAAGTAATTGTTGCATCATATTTACTTTATTCTCTCTACTGGGAAGTCAGATAATTGCTTTATACTTTTTAATGGAAAGTGTTTGGGAAGCCTCTTACCTCTGGGATGTAGATGAGCAGTGCAGCAACTATTGCAAGGCTTGCATTCCTCCCCTTTTTCTGGAGCTGGATGGGAATCCAGTAGGAGAAGGCCTAGACGACTGGCACCTTCTCTAGAATTGAGTAGCAGCCATGAAGTTACTCAGTGGTTTAGACCCCATCATAAAAGTAAAGCTGCCAGCTCTGCTGTGCCTCGTGTTTGGGTATATCTCATCTGCGGGAATATTCAGCCAGACTTTCCTTATGAAGTAGTATTGTAGGGTATTAATTATTCATAGTCAGTTTAATTCTTCTTTCTTGCATATTTAATTGTAATAGCATGCTGTATGTCACAGTGATTTCCCAGAAGAACTGTACACCAAAGGAAAACCATTCAGGTATATAGTCTTAAATACGCCCGTGCTAATCTTTGTTGTTTAATTTTGGAGCAGAATGGGATATTATCAGATGTTTCTTGCAGGGAAACAATTATGCAAAAACATGATTTGGCTTAATCTTTTCAGCTAAAGTTTTCAAGCTGAAATAGCTGGTTTGATTTTTCACTGATGACGTTTACGTTGTCTTGCTTATTTTATGAGGAAAAAATGCTTAATGGGAGGGAGGACGTGACTTTTGTTTTCTTCACTGAAGGGGGGGGAGCCTCTATCAGAGACTTTGGAAGTGTCAATCGATTCTTTGCAGAAGATGAAGGAAGGGAATAAGATTTTTATTGAGTTTTTTTTGAGTGATCAGAATAGCAATGCCAAATGCCTGTGTGATTAAGATTTTTTAAAATTTTTTATTTTAACGACTAGGATGGGCTCTTAGTGCTCGACGTGAGAAAATATTGGAGGCACAGGAACTGCAAATGCATTCACAATTTGATTTGCATTACCCTCCTTCCAGAGCTGTTTCACGCTTGTAAGGCATTTGGTGAAACCGAATCCCTCGAGTTTGGAGAGCAGGATTGTTCTCAGAGATTTACCGTAGGAGTTTAAACTTCTGAAAAATCTGTTTACAATGTGTCTGAACTGGAGGATAGAGGACACAGTAGAGACTGTTATCTGTTTACTGCTCAGATAAGGAGGTGGAATAGATTGCTGGCCTGTTTCTGAACTCTGCTTAATGAATGGTTGCTAGGCAAATTGCATCTCAATCAGCTTAATCCTCAAGATGTCATTTACAGGTCTGCTCTTTGTGAGGGCCAGAACCGTGCGCTTTCAAACTGCACAGGCCAGAAATTGCTAGCAAAGCAGCTTAGAATAGCTTGTTCAAAAATTCAGCGTACATGTGCTGCTGAGCTGCCCAATTTAAAGTGCCTGTTGTCGCAGGGCCGTCACTGCCTGGCCATGCGCGAGATGAGGCGCTCAGTGATAGACAGGAGGCAGCAGCATCCTTAGCACCCTTTCTGGATCAGCACAGCCCACACCACCACGTTTTGGCACTGGATTAACGTGAAAGAAAACGTTTCTAAATGGGGACTGCACTGCTGACGTGATGAAAGGTATTTCTGCTTTGGCTGAGTTTGCTCAGAGCTGGGTGTGATTTTGGGGTGTATATGTGGGACATGATTAACAGGTGGAAATGGGAAGGGGGTGTTACGTGGCATGGGACAGGGAGCTGGGGCTGGCCTTGGTGAGAGAGCTGTTAGCAGGAGAGGGCACGGGCTGGTTGCATGAAGGTTTTATCCTGCCTCTGGAACATTGGACTTTCTCCCGAAGCATCAGACGAGAGCCAATTAATTGCATATGCTGGCATGTGTGATGCCCACATGCATTAGGCTCATGGTTTAATCCAAAGGAAAAAGTTTCCTAACATAGTTAAGCTTTAACAGTCTCTTTGTAAAGAAAGATAACAAGATACTTGTTTTTATTGGTTTCCCATGACAGCGATTAATCTTCTTGTGGGCAGTGCATTGTTCTTTGCATGGCTACACCTTCCTTTCCTTTGAAACACATCCTCTGAGTGCTGTGTGTCATGACACCAAACACTGTAAAGGCAAACCGGAAAGGACTGGACTTGTTGAATGCAAAAGACATTTTAGAACTGTTCATGGTCACCGTGTGCTGATGTGAAATGTCCTTCACGTGACACGGTTATTAAAAGTACAGGTGTAAGCCCAGTGCGTGAACTTTGCAGTGCTTGCATGGTTGGGATGTGTGCAGCTTTTGTGTTAGTTCAAAAATACTGTTTTTCAGGAAACATTAAAACGTTGAGAGCCTCTCCAAATAAACCATAAATAAAATATTCCACCTTAGTCACCAGCAAAATGACAGTGGTGCCAGCGACTTTACGCTGTGGATGGGAAGAGGGCTGTTGAACAGAAGACTTTGTGATCAGAGAGTGCTTTTCATGCAAATGAAGATTTTATTACATGCTGCTGAATCAGGGGCTTGTGTAGCGAGAACAGCACAGAAGTGATAAGATCACTTTGTCATAGCTTGAAATTTTGCCCAGCGTGTCTTTCAGTTTGCTGAAACGGGCAAGAAACACTCTTGTTAAGGGCACAGCAGTAGCTGATACAATATTAGGGGGTGCAGGGCTCTCGTTTCGTGGTATGGTCTGCCTGCAGTGATCTGCCACGTGTCCACAGCCCTGATTTGAAAGCAAGGTGGAACTGCAACCTGTAGGTGACTCTGAGTAGCAGCAAAGTTATAAACATGCCCATTCCTGATGAGATCCTGGTTCTGCTCTTGGTGAATGGGTCTGGAATCTCCTCTCTGCTGCAAGCCAGGAGCTGTTAGCATTGGTCAGAGCAGAATTGTCCATCGTTTTAGCTGGGATAGCCTGTTGGCTGTTCCTGGGTCATGCAGGAGCTCTGCACATGCTGTGGAGCTGTGTTTTGCTGCAGAGGGCACCCATCCAGGGCTGACTGCCTCTGCTGGCTTTCCTTTTGTATTCACTAGCTGATATCATCTTCCCGATGTCCTCCTTTCACGCTGAGAACCTGCTTGGTTTAATGAGGACTGTTGTTGCCAACAAGTGAATGGATATGTGTAGTGGAATAGGCACCCACATCTTCCCCTGCACATGGGTAGTGTTCAGCATCCTGATGTGACCTTGGTGAAAGTTCTCCAGCATGTTACTTTCCCTCTTTATTTATCTCCTTTGCTGTGTAGCAGCTTTCCTTACAGGGGAGTGTCTGAGCTGTTGGAAATCTGTCCTCTCTTCTCTTCCTCTCTCCAGAGACATTGTCAGCATAACACCCAAACTACTGAGATTGACGCCTGAATACTCTGCTTTTGCACAATCAGAAGGCATTCAGTGAAGTAGCAAGAGGAGAAGAAGTTTAAGATTTAGGACTGACATTTTCAATCCATAATCTTGAACAGTCTTGGTAAGGAAGGGTCAGAGACTTTCTTCATATGGGATGCCCCTGTATGTGTGTGTTTGACGTCCATCAGAATGTATAGCACAGAGAAGAAACATTCTTAACAGCCACTGGATTTCAGAATGGGGCTGTTCATATTTCAGATTCTTATCTGAAGAGTCTAGGAGCAAAATCTAACCCTGCACGTTCCCGGAGAGTTTCAGAGCGGTAGGATGGAACCTTTTGCCTGTGTTTCTCATGCAAATTATGGTAAGGATTATTCAGTGTTTAAAATCTGGTTTATACTGGCTTCTGAATTTCATTTAAAATAAACATCTGGAGAGCTTTTTGATCTCCTGTGCAAGACTGTTGTCTGCCTCGCTCGTTAAAATGACTTCTGCTTAATTTTTAGTGAAAGGCAAAGACCTAGATGGTTTAAGCCCAGAGGCAATCTAAATGGTTCACCTTCTGCAGTTAGAAATTTCCATGAGCCTGTCCAGCAAATACTTGAAATCCATGCTTTTAGGGAATATGGCAGCAATAGGTACCTGTTTCTTCCATGCTGCAGTTTGGGATCTGCAGGTCTGCTACCTGTAGTGCCATTTGTACTTCTGCAGAGCCTTGTTCTCCTGGTGCCGAGCAGGTGTTGGACCGGATGCTCCAGTCAAGAATTATGGTCTTGTCCCTTTGCAGTTTGCAGTCCAAAGCCCTCCTTGGGAAGATTGCCACGGTTTGCCAGTATCCTGCAGTCAGAGCGCTGGATCAGTGTCTCACAGGGGGTAATCAGTTATTTATTCAAATAGCCATTACATTTGGGGTCTGTTTTCTGTGATTTGACAGGAGCTCACTCCTCACCACTGGAGACTGGAACCCTGTACCCATGGGGAGTGCTGGGTGCTGCTTCCTCCAGCTTTCTGGCTTTGAAACAGGTTCCTGTTGCTCTTTGCAGAGCCTGAAGCAGTGGTCTGTGGAGGCAGTGTCTGCAGAGCAGCAGTGACTTTACCTCTTTGTTTTCTCTCTCTATTTATGTCTGTATGGGATCAGCTGGTCCCACATCATGTGTGAAGTAGTTAAATTTTACCCTCCATCTGTAAGATGTGATTTTTTCCCCCCCTCCTTTCTAGTCTCTTTGATCAAATCAAACAAAAACGCAGTGCTTTCATTTCTAGTTTTATAGTTTCAAAGACAATCCCTTGACATGCTCGAGCAGTCTGGACCCGAGTCTTTTTTTTTCCTTAGTCCAAAGGCTCACTGTGTCTTGTGCCTTTCTCTGTATCAGCAGTTGCAATCTGCATTAGCTTTTATCTGCATCAAAAGACAAATGGAAGAGAGCAAGACCCTGCAGGAATGGGAAACAGACTTACATGTGCAATGGAAATATGTAATCCTTACGTTCGGTCTGCCACATGGAGTACAGGCCAGTTTCTATACTGGAAATCTGTAGCCTATACTCCAGAAATGTGAGTTTAGATTTTAGGCTTTGAAGGTTGGTTAATCCCCTCCAGTGGTTAATACCAACATAAAACGCTCTCTGATGTCAAACTTTTCCTCCCAAATGCTTTCTTTTTTTTTTTCCCCCCCTCCTTTTTTTTGCATATGTCAACTATACAAAGCAGCGCTCAATTTGAGAAATTAGCATTCAAACCCTCTGTAAGCACTTTATTTTTGTCCGCTTTGTGAGCAGCTGAACACATGTCCAGGCTGAAATACGCTGAGCTGCTGCTTCCCGGCGCGCGTGCCAGCGCCGCCCGGCACGAGGAGCTCCCGACCACGCAGGCGTGGGAGAATCTGGAACTTTGTCCGGTGTCCTGAAGAGGCACTCCTGACCTCCGTCCCGCAAAAGCACATCTGCAAATCTCCTGCTCGACTGCATC